ATCTGCACCGTCAGCACGCGGCCGCTCGGCAGCGTGGGCGCGCCCTCGAAGGGCTCGTCGTCGTCGTCCTCGACGAAGGAGTCCGCGTCGCCGGGCGCCCCGGCGACGGAGTCGGCGAAGGAGTCGCCGAGCGCGGACGCGCCCGCGCGCGCGAGCCGCGACCGGCTCTTCGACGAGAACTGCGCGAGCGAGTCCCAGGACTCGAGGAGGCTCGCCTCGTTGCGCGGCTTCCGCCGCGGCAGCTCCCCGCGGAGCGCCGCGCCGAGCGCGTCCGAGGGACCTGCGAGAGCGTCCGCCGCGGCCGCCGGCCGCGACGGCCGCGGCGCCGCCGGCGCCGGCTCCGCCGCCGCCGCCTCGTCGTCCTCGGGCTCCTCCGGTCCCTGCGTCCGCGGCCGCCGCGACCGCGGCGTGGGCTTCGGCTTCGGCGGCGACGCGAGGTCCAACGCCGCGGCGCCGCGCGGCGTCGGCTTGGCGAGCCAGAGCGACGCGTCGGAGACCTTGGCCGGCGCGTCGGCGTCGGGGACCTTCGCCGGCGCCTCGGGCGTCACGAGCGTCGCGCTCGCGTCGGCGACGGTGCCCGACGCCTCGGCGTCGTCGGGCGTCACGAGCGCGGCGGCCGCCCCGCCCGTCGTCGCCGGGGGCGTCTCGAGGGGCGCGGGCTTCGGCGCGGGCGGCGCCTCCTCCGCGGGCGTCGGCGCGGCCTCCGCGGCCGGCGCGGGGGCGGCCGCCGCGAGCTCCGCCGGAACCGCCGCCGGTTTCAGCGCCACGTCGAACCAACCCGAGCCCTTGGCGTCGCGGGCCCGCCGCGGCAGCTCGCCCGCGAAGACCAGCGCCCCGTCGACCTCGACCTCGATGGACCTCGCGCCCAGCGCCCCGGGCTCGTCCGCGACGCCGCCGATGGCCTTGGCGGAGGCGGAGCAGTTCCAGACGCGGAGCCGCGCGCCGGCCCGGTCGAGGACGCCGGCGCCGACGGCCAGGGCGACGTGCACGGGCCCGTCCGTCGGGATCCGCGCGACCCACGACTGGCCGCGAGT